ATCACGTACAGACTTTTCACAAAACGTCATATGTACTTTTACACAACTGAATCATTTTAACTGAAATCGGGACAAATTTTGTTATGCTTAAAATGTTGACAACCATTGGCTATGGACTTCTCTAAGCCAATCGCGATGTGAAAGACTTATCGATCATTCTAGAACCCACGAGAAACACACCGCTAGTATATAAACGGTTAACAGGCCGCATGGCGTGTCATTTCTGGATAATATTTGTTTGTGCGTGCACTTTGACATTATTATTTTTTTAATATTATTTATTCGTCGCTATGGCAACAAGAGATTGTTTAAATGACCCAAACATATTCTGTTATATTTTTGGCAAATTTCTTGTAAAGAAACAAAGGCGAAACATTACAGAATTCGTCAAAAAAGCATATTACACATATTTTGGAATAAAACTTGGGACCAAGACAAATCATAGGCTCCCCGGTTTGCACCGTTTGTGTGGTAGAGTTGAGACAATGGTTTAAAGATAAGAAAAAGCTTTTGCCTTTTGGAATTCTGATGGTCTGGCGTAAGCCTCGAAACTATGGAGATGACTACTATTTTTGTGCATGTAACATGCAAGGCTACAATACTAGAAATATAAAGGAAATTTCTTATCCAAATCTTCAATCTGCTATAAAACCTGTTGCACATGGACCTGATGTACCTGTGTCTATTCCACCAGAGACTCTTGATACAGTTCCATCTGATTCTGAATCTGGTGTCAATAGAAATTATTATAGGGATTGTTTTCAACCTGAAACGTCTGGTGAACCACAACTTTTTACACAAGGTGAACTTAATGATTTGGTGAGATATTTGAGCCTTCCAAAAGATTGTTCAGTGAGCTTGGGGTCCAGACTTTGGGCTAAGTACTTACTTTCTCCAGGGACATCATTTTACTGGTACAGAAATCGTGAGAAAGAGTTTATATGATTCTTTTCGAAAGAAGGTTCACTGGTTTATTGCAACAATATTGCTAAATTAATACCAACGCTAGGAGCTTCAGTCTATGAACAAGTGAGTGGCGATTGTTCATTGATTCCTCCATAAGGAAACATTCGAAAATCTCGAACTTATTCTTAATAAGGTCAAATACAAAAAACATGGTTGCCTACTTTGTGGAGACTTAAAAGTCTTTTGTATGTTGTTGGATCAACAATACGGTTATACAAAGTTTCCATGTTTTTTGTGTGAATGGGACAGCAGAGCACGAAATCAGCACTGGATAAAGACGCAATGGTCACGCAAAGTCAGCCTGATACCAGGATTGAAAAACATTGAACGTGAAAGTTTGGTTGACACAAAGAAAGTTTTATTACCTCCACTTCACATAAAACTGGTCTTGATGAAGCAGTTTGTAAAGGCCTTAGACAAAGAGATGGCGACTGTTTCAAGTATCTATGCGAGCAATTCCCGCTCTTTCAGAAGCGAAACATAAAGAAGGAATTTTTGTTGGGCCTCAGATTAGGAAATTGACTTCGGATGAACGGTTCGAAAGAATAATGAGAAAAGTTAAAAAAAGAAGCGTGGATTGCCTTTAAAGATGTTATTGAAAATTTTTTAGGAAACAACAAGGACCAAAATTAAGAAAATATTGTCAATAACATGCTTGATAAATTCAAAGAGTTGGATTGTAATATGAGCTTGAAAGTTCATTTCTTACACTCACATATTGACTATTTCTTTTAAAATCTCGGTGCCGTCAGCAAAGATCAAGGGGAAAGGTTTCATCAAGACATCGGGGAAATGGAGAGGAGGTATCAGGGAAGTTGGAACATCAGCATGATGGCTGATTACTGCTGGTCATTGAAACGCGATGCTCCAGGCGCAATACATAAAATAAAAACCTAAAAACTGGTAGTTTTGAGACTAAAATACGTAGATTTCACAAAAAAATTCAGGATGAAAGAGGGTGCATATTCGTTTGACATTAATGTTCTTCCCTTTTCTTCAGTTTGTTTGTATTTTTATTAATAAACATAATAATAAAAAATGTTCATTGTGGTAAACGAAATATAATTTGATCTAAGTAAGAGTGTGTGTTTTTTTTCACGATTTGTAAAAAATCCTAACGTGATAGAAAGAAAAATAATATTATTTTGGAAATCTGCATGAATTATGAAAATTCGTTATTAAAACCAAAAAACTTTTATGAAGTTTAAATTTGCAGGCCTGTGTAATCTATTAGTATCTTTGAAATAACACATAGATGATAATGATAAAACAAATAAACTACTAGTAGTGCTGAAACAGTACGTAGTTTGTAGCGATAGAATAAATAAAGAAGTATTAGTGCTGAAATAACACATAGCTTATAGTGACAGAATAAATAAAGTATTAGTAGTATTGAACTAACACATAGTTTATAGTGATAGGATAAATAAAATATTAATAGTGTTTAACACGTAATGCATATCTCGGGGTGGCAAAATTTCCTGATATATTGCCGATTTCTGCGGAACATTAACTGCGGAATTTGAACACTGAAATAGGGCATTTAGTAATAAAATAAAACAGCGAAAAATATTTTCAGGGGTGTTTTTATTTTGTTAAAAAAGAAGAAGGAAAGGCAAGCAGCTGAAGGAGGAGCCCAAGGAGGTGTTTCATTATGAATTCTGTACTTGTTCAAGGTTAACATAAGTATTCATCCCCAAAACAACAAAATCGTAAAAGAATTGTCATTTATTTGCATTTATTTTCATGAAAGAAAGAAGGAAAAGGCAAAAGAACAAGAAAATAAAGGGAAAACGGCCTAGAAATATGTATACTTTTCCGGAAAATGTAGCCGAAATTGCAATTTTCAAACGGTCATAAAAGTTCGAGTATTGATGCACTGTTTTATTTGGTTGATCTTGCTTTATATTTTCTTCTCATCAGTGAACTCTTCGATGTGGTTTGCCTCCTTTATCATCTCATATCTTTCCAGGACCACTGCATAGCATGCCTTTGGTGCAATGTTTTCATGTGCATCAAGAATATCATTGATGATACTTGAAAGCACATGTGGAAAACGTATACCAGTTGAAAGTTGGCCATTTGCTGCTCTTTATTCTTTTGCAATGAAGGCGCTGATTGCCGAACGAATCTCGCTCTCATGGTAGATCCAATACAGAGAGGTATTTCATTTTCAACCTTTCAAGCTTGCGACCAAAACTTTTTTGTTGTTGTTGTTGTTGATCACTTACATTTCCATCATCATACATTTGCTTCACATCATCTATATGAATATAATTTTTTCCATAATCTTTTTTTTGAACAGGCTTTATTGCCCAACCTTTCTGAAAAGATTCGTATCATCAATGCGTTGAATAAATTCAAAAGATCCTACATCCAGTAAAATTCCAGTAGGTTCGGGAAGACCCCGAATTTAGCTTCGTTACGTTATGAGAAAATCAATGCAAAAAAGTTTAGCCAATTATCTTTTTTTCCGGCTTGATTAGCCCCGTGGGACTGAGAAAAATTTGTACCCCAGAGGTATGCATTACGTGTTAAATAACACGTAGTTTATAGCAATAAAATAAATATATTATTAGTAGTGTTAAAATAACATATAGTTTATAGAGTTAGAATGAATAAAACTTTAGTATCGT